AGAGACACTGCAGATTAAAACAACCAGAAAAATCAGCAGTAGCTGAACATGCCCTAAAACAAGGTGGACATGAAATTCTATTTCAAAATACTGAAGTACTGGACAACACCAGCAATCTGTATGTTAGACTGCACAGGGAAGCCATTGAACTCCATAAACAGAATTTCAATGGGAAAGAAGAAGGCCTAAAACTAAACACGGCCTGGCGCCCCATTCTGAAAAATACAACCTGCAAAAGGTCAACGACCTCTACCCAGCCACAAGGGCCAGGGATCATTGCACAAAAAAGATCAGCTAACGACACCTATCAATCACAGTGACAGATAATCTCTTCCTCCCCCCTCCCTTATCAGAATAAAAACATGCTGATCACCCTATCTCCTGAAAAAAGACAAAAGCTGTTTCCTACAGCTATAAATACTCAACTACCCAACAAACACCAACAGAGCATGGACAGGGTTCCTACTCCAGTCCTCTAAAGATGTCGGCCACAGAGACTGGCGAAACGTCAGGAAGAACAACCTTCAGAACACGGCCAATGAGCCTGAAAAACCCACAACAACCATTAGATCCCGGCCGTGAAAGCCTTCACGAATACATTTTGAATCAGTTGAAGTTTTCAAATGCTTCAAAGTCAGCTCCACCTAGAGTGCATTAAAGGAATCCGAGCAGAAAGTAACGAAGGCCTATGTCACCAGAGCCAAATCAGGTATTTAAACATCACTGTTTAAATTATCACAAACTGAATGGTGGGAGATCAAGGACAAATAAAAGGAGGTCATTCTTCACACAATGCAGAGGGCACTGAGGGATTCACTGCCCTGAAATATGGCAAGGTGACCAAATTGGATGCTGTTAAAAAGAGGAATGGAAAAAATTTGTGGAGGTTTGTGACCATCAGTGGTTATGCTACTCGGGGCGGCTGTGTTTCTGCTCCAGTACCAGAGGTACTGATGTATCAGTTCCTGAAGAAAGTGAGGGTTCGTTCCTGTTTTACCAGTAGCTTTCCCCATCGGCAGCTGGGTGGACAGAATGTTGGATCAGTGAAGCCTTTGATCTGACTGAGCATGGCTCATGTATTTATTTCTACTCACTGCTTCAGAACTCTGTGTAACATTGCCTGTAACCCCTTAATTAGAGTGAAGATGTAACTATTACTGACAATGTTATTTTCTAGGTGCAGTGAGTAACACCTGAGTTACTCTTATGTAACACACACTAAGCAGTTATTTTGCCAAACATGATTTTGATAGGTATTTCAATAGATAGTTTTGTATGAATTTTAAATAGTTTTGTGCCATTCTCTTGTGTATCCTAAGTATCAAGGGAATTATTTGTTTTTGGCTTTTGCCTGTTTATATTTTGAAGGTATAATACCCTGGGTATATTTAAAACTCAACTAAAAAACATGGCTCTATGTTAAGGCCTTCCCTCCTGCCAGCATTTAACCTAATTTAATTTATCTGACTTTCCTTATCTATCTATTA